GACACACGCATCTAACACACACATCTAACCAACTAAAAATTATAAACACAACATTCAACAACAACTACAAATTATGAAGTATGGAAAATTAAGCACCCATAAAAAACGCAGCGGCACTCTATAAAACTAGACACCTGCATGTATAATATATACACCTCACTTTACATTTTGTACATTATTTTTTTGTAAAAATTAAAAAAATTATTTTCAAATATATTACTTTTTTTCACCTTATATTTTAATAAAAAAATACTAAAAAAAGTCATTTCTCAAACGTCTTCAAAAATTTAAGGCTCTGTTTGATTTAATTTTAGAATTATGATTTAAATATTAAATTTTGATTTAAATGTAGAATTGTGAATTGAGTTTTGAAAAAGTTCTCACATTTGCGTCGTCTTTTCATTTCCTCTTTTAGAGATGATGAGTCCGTTTGGTAACAAAATGAGAAAATTGTGACTTCTCAACTAAGGTTGAAATAATGGCTTATTTTTTGATTTTTTTTATTTATTACGAAAAGAATTATAAAAAAAAATAAAGAGGCGATGTTATATGTTTTAGACATGGCTTTTTTTTTCTTCTTTTTTTGTCTTTTTTTTACGTATTACTAAAAATGTGTAGAAAAATAAATAAGTGACATGACTCAAATAAGTCAATAAATTGCTTTTAAGTCATGTTGCCAAAGGGAGCCAATAAACAGCTTATTTAAGATATCTCCACAAGAGACCTAAATGATTATGATCTTTCATAATTTTATTTGGATAAATAACAATTAAAGATAGAACACGTCTCTTTTAACTTTCTATATTTTGTATTTTGATAGATAATTTTAAATATGATAAAAAAATTATATATAATTATTTTTATTTTATTTTATTTTAAATTTCAAAACAATGGGTAGATTATAAATTTATAGTGTTGATACCACAAATATCATACTTAAACATTTACAATCTTAATTTTTTAAAAAATAAAATATAATGGGTTATAATCAAACACAATTTAAGACATAACTAAAGATTTTTTTGATAATAATTAAAATAATATTGATTACAATAAACCATAACCACAATCTCAATAAATTATAATTAAAATCTAAAAAAAAAAAATTAGTGAAACATCCCTCTATAACTTTGTGTAGTAGGAGAGGTCCAAGGTATTTTGTTTTATTAGCTAAGGTCCCTCAACATTTTCACAGAAAAAATTCGACTCAGAGAAATTTTGCCTGACTTAGAGAAATTTCGCCTGACTTAGAGAAATTTCAAAATTTCCAAATTTTGGCCCCAACTTTGTAACTCTCATCTTTTGATGATGGAGTTGATGACCATATTAGTGGCATGAGTTTTAACCTTTGTAACTCTAGCTCTAATGGCTAGAGTTGATGCCTTGGTTAATGGCATTTTGATGGCCCTCATGATGATAGCCTTCATGGCTAAGAACTCCCTTACTTTGTATAAATAGATGTCTTTCTCCTCTAATTTAGTAGGATGTTTTTAAAGAGGGTGTTTTATTTTTTTCAATGGAGAATAGTGATTTTTTAGATAAAGTAGTAGGGGTTTCTTACATCAAAGAAAAATTCAAAGAAAATTTCCCATCTCTTTTTGTTAGCCCTTTCTTTGATTCTTGTTAACGAGAGAGTGCTATTGTCAAGTTCCTCAGGTGCTTCTATATTAACTGACTTCGACCATCATATCCTAAAAAATAGACGCCAACATTCCTCCAGCACCCATTAATGAGGCAATGAACCACAAGTTTCGATTTGCATCCCTTATCTTTTGTTCTTTAAACTTTAGATTTAATATATTTCTTGTATATTATTTTTGTATGTCCATGTGAATCCATCTTGTAATATGTTCTAATGTTGTAATCTATTTTTCCAATCTTGTGTTTTCTTTAAGAATAAAAAATAAGATCGTTTTATCTTCACTATTTTATTTTATATAATTTAGTTTTCTATTATCGGGAAAAATACTAATATTTTAGTCATTAATCTCAATGTATAAACATAAAATGACGAAAAAATAACATTTTAGTTGTTAACCTCAGTGTAGGTATATATATAAGATGTCTAAAATAATATTTTTTATTCAGTTTAATGACAAAAATATTTTTTTCTATCAATTTAATTAATAAAAATAGACAAATAGTTTAAATTGAAAACAAATCAAATGTTTAGGGTCTAAATTGAGAAAAATAAAAATTTATGATTTTTTTTATTACAAGACTTAAATTCTGAAGTTTCTTTTTTTTAATAATTGTCCCTTTTAATTTTGTCTGTGCCGATTGGTTTCCTATTAATTAAGAATGCATAGAAACTAATGCAACAAAGTTTTGCCATTTTTCTATTTCTTTCTTGCTTAGGAGAAAACACAACTAAAGCAAAGTATATAAAAATAGTACAACAACAAATTTTATATATAGCATCACTCCATAAGCTTAATTTTCACAAATTTTATAAGATAAAAAGAATTAAACTAAACAATATTCACTCTTTTTTATTTTGATCAAAAACTGCTCAAGTTTTAAAAACTGCTCAAGTTTTTTGATTTTTATATTTTGTTGTCTTTAATTTTTTTTATATATTTTAGTTAATTTTTTTTAGATGCATGCAAAAAATAAAGTAAAATATTTGTGAATTTGTTTTTTAAAAATTCAATAAAACCAAAAAAAAAAATTGAAAAAGTACTGAATTTTTGTAATTTTTTTTTTTGTATTTAGTGAATTTTTTACAAATGTTTTACATTTAAATGTATTTAGATTAGGTGAATCTTAAAAAAAAAAAAAATTCTTCAAAATTGTAAAAGGTTTACTAAGCACAATAAAATAAAATAAAAAATTTTAAAACTATTCACCAAACAGAGTGAATTCAGAGCATCTTTATCAAAATAGTCAAATTGTTTTGTCAAAATTTAACTAAAAAATAACTTTTCTATTTTAGCTAATCACTTTTTTAAATATATTCTCCATCAAGCTCTCTATTCTTTTTCTATTCTATTTAAATATTTTTATTTTATTATTTCTTTAATTTTTTTTTTCTAACATTCATATTTTTTAAACTAACATTTTTCAATAGTTCCAACTTTTGATCAGATATTTTTAAACCCATTCTTTCAATGTATTTTTTTTAACGGTCATATTTTTCTAATGTAAATAATATCACTTCATCTATATTTTTTATCCACTTCAATTTAATTTTCTTTTTCAATTCATTCTTTGTTTTTCGGGTTGCTCACAATTTTGTGCGAGGAAAACTATTTTGTTCATACACTTCACCATTTAAAATACCTCATTAGTCTAAGCAATAAAAAAGTTGGTTCGTACACTTACCAAATATGTGAACAAAATTAAATTTCAAAAAAAAAAAATTGTGTAATGCTTGTCTAATTTTTATTATTTAAATATATTTGTTGAGGCTTGATGACTAACTATTTGTGGAGAGGATTTGAGACTCAACAGATTTGGCAACTGGAAAGACTAGCTTGATAGAGTATTTGTTTAGTGAATTTTCTTGGTAGAATAGTTAAGAGAGGGATTTGATGTGTTTGATGGAGATGCTCTTACAGTAGATTTTTAATAGGCGTGAATAGTGGATCTTTAATAGGAGTGAATTTCTATTTGATGGATCCCTTTATTTTTTAATGAAATTAAACTATATTAACTAAAATATTGAAATAATGTTATATGGACTAATTAGTGTAACAATTGATGATGTGGTATAATTTAAGATGTTTTTGTTATTTGTAATTTGTATAATAAGTGGAGTCAATAATAATGTCATAACTAGTGTTGGTACACTAGTTAATACACTAATTGATGTATGTAACACCATCGAAAATATTGATAATATAAATACATCTTTTATGAAGAATTTTCGTAGCTTGATGGCCATGGAACCCATCACCTCCCGTGTGAAGTCGCCCGGTGTAAGGTTTCATTTGTTGAATGACACAGAGGTGTGAGTTTTTTACACATCTTTTATTTTCAAGCAGTGTTTGGAATATAATCAACCTTTCACTATCTGAAAAATATAAGTTTGGTTTAAAATTTTTAAAAATAGTTTTTGACAATTTTAATTCTTTTTTTTTTTAAGTTTTTAGTATTTTTTTAACATTAAAATTTTTTTTATAAATTTTTTAGATCCACTTAATCTAAATACATTTAAAAAGCACAAAAAATTGTAAAAAAAATTATTGAATATAAAAAGATACGAAAATATTGAATTTTTATATTATTTTTGTGTTCAATGAATTTTAATGAATCTAAAAATTAAAAAAAATAATAATTAAAATATTTAAAAAGAAATTAAAAATTAAAAATTAAAAAATAGAAAATAAAAATAAAATTATATATTTTGTTCACATTTTTTTCATATTTTTACCTTTTCTTTTTAAATTTTTATCCAAATTGTCAGTACCAACTCACCCTTTTTTTATCTCCAAAACAAAATGATATGATTGTTTTAAAGAAAATTGCTTTTTCATATCTGTGTTACTATAACTTGGTGTCTACAGAGTGGACCAACATGTCTAACCAACTAAAAATTATAAACACATTCAACAACGACAACAAATTATGAAGTATGGAAAATTGAGCACCCATAAAAATAAAAAATAAAAAAATTGCAACGACACTTTGTAACACTAGACACCTGCATGTATAATATATACACCTCACTATATATTGCGATATATTATGATAATTATAAATAAAATAAAATAGAAGAGAGAAGCTAATCCAGGGCAGGAAAATTATGCATTTATAGGTATGTTTATTAATTTCCTAAAATGAATCAAACGTTTATAGATATATATTTAAATTGTGTTTGGATTATAAATTTAGGAAAAATTAGAGGAAAAAAAATTAAAAATGAGACAAATGTGAATGAAATATAAGTTAAATTTTCTTTATTTATTTTTTTATTTTCAAATCTCTCTCTAAATTCATAATTTAAATACAGAGTTTGAAAAAATTACCAGAGATGAATTAAGGAAAACGAGAAATACCTGGAAGCAAATTAACTTGAAACACACAGATAGAGAGAGCGAGGACTTGTAAGGAAGCCTGCTTAACAAATAGTAGAAGAGAATAATCAAGTGAGCTTCCAACCACAGAGAAAAGTGTGAGGACTTGTAAGGAAGGGAAGGGAAGGGAAGGGAAGGGAGGAAGCTTACTGGACAAATAATAGAAGAGAATAACCAAGTGAGCTTCCAACCACAGAGAAAAGAGTGACGATAAGGTGAGACTCAAATTAAGGGGTTGTTTGGCAAATAAGGATTTTAGTTAAAAGATTAAAAAAATATTTAAAAAATTTAAAAAAATTAATTCATATAAAAAAAATTAAAAATTCTTTTTTATTCACTATACATTTTGTACATTCTTTTTTTGTAAAAATTAAATAAAAAATCTTTTTAAATATATTATTTTTTTTTTCACTTTATATTTTAATAAAAAGTCACTAAAAAATTCAATTCTCAAACGGCTTCAAAAATTTAAGGTTCCATTTGGTTTAATTTTAGAATTATGATTTGAATATAAAATTGTGATTTAAGTGTAGAGTTGTGAGTTGAATTTTGAAAAAAATTCTCACTTTTGCATTTTCTTTTCATTTCCTCTTTTACGTTGTGTTTGGTTGGAGGATTTGGGGAGGGATTTGGAACGGGAAAGGAAAAAGATATGTGAAACTAAGTGAAATATAGACATATTTTATTCACATTTCACCTACCTTTTCTATTTTCCTTTCTAAATCACTTCTCAAATCCCCCAACCAAGCACAGCGTTAGAAATGATGAGTCCGTTTATTTTTTTATTTATTAATAAGAAGTCATAAAAAAGTCATTTCTCAAACGGCTTCAAAAATTTAAGGTTTTATTTGGTTTAATTTTAGAATTATAATTTGAATATGAAATTATAATTCAATATAGAGTTATGAATTGAATTTTGAAAAGAGTCATCACTATTGCATTTTCTTTTCATTTCATCTTTTACAGATGATGAGTCCGTTTAGTAACAAAATGAGAAAATTGTGACTTCTCAACTAAGGTTGAAATAATGACTTATTTTTTGATTTTTTTTATTTTTTACCAAAAAAAAAAAAAAAAAGTAAAGAGGTGATGTTATATGTTCTGGAGATGGCTTATTTTTTTTGTCTTTTATATATATATTAGTCTATGTCCGTGTCTGAAGACACGAGGTAAATAATGTAAGGATTAAAATATAATTATAATCTCAACATTATTTAAATTTATTTTTTAATTTGATAAAATCACAAATTTATTATAAAATTTTGGAGTTCTCACAAAACTCCTCACTAAAATTTGCTTTTGTTTATATGATATATAGCTAGATAAATAGATGTGCCTAGCATACATACAATTTTTATGGGCATACATACAATACTGCTTTTGCTTATCTAATTATATGGAAATTATATGTATGCCCATAAATTATATGGAAATATGCGTAAAATTTATTAAACAAAGAGAAGAAAATAAAAAATAAAAAAAAAAAATAGAGAGAAAAATAAAAACGAGAGAAAATAAAAAAAAATAAAAAAAGAAAAGAGAAAGGAATGTGAGATCATGGGATCATGGAAGAATGTGTGAGAAAAAGAAAAAGTAAGAGAGAGAGAGGAGCGGGAAAATAGAAAATGTACATGTAGGATATTTTTGAGAAAATATATCTCAGCCGTTGTTTTATAATTTAAATAAATCTTAGCCGTCCAAATGTCCTAGTAGGACAAATGTGTGCAGGACAAATTCAAAAACCATTATTCTTTATTACATAAATGTTAAAGATTTATATGAGGTTATCTAAATTTATGAAATCTATCAGGTATTCAATATATTTAATAATAATAATTAATTGTTTAAATTCATTTAATTTGTAGAATATAAACATTCATTAATTTAATCTCCACTACACACAGTAAAATCTAACTTTTAATTCTGGAATCGCAGACTTTTCCATATAATATGAATAAAAAGAAGTGAACAAAAATGAGAAAATAAAAAAAAATAAAGAAATAGAGAGAAAAATAAAAATGGGAGAAAATAAAAAAAAATAAAAAGAAAAGAGAGATGAAAGTGGGATCATGGAATCATAGAAGGATGGGTGAGAAAAAAAAAAGTAAGAGAGAGAGAAGCGGGAAAATAGAAAATGTACATGTATGATATTTTTGAGAAAATATATCTCAGCCGTTGTTGTATAATTTAAATAAATTTGATGAGCCGTCCAAATATCTTAGTAGGACAAATGTGTGTAGGAGAAATTCAAAAATCATCCTGCTTTATTATATAGATGTTGAAGATTCATATGAGGTTATCTAAATTTATGAAATCTATCAGGTATTCAATATATTTAAAAATAATAATTAATTGTTCAAATTCATTTAATTTGTGGACTATAAAATTTCATTAATTTAATCTCCACTACACACAGTAAAATATGGTTCCTAATTCTGGGATCGCAGACTTTTTCCATATAACATAAATAAAAATAAGTGAACAAAAATGAGAAAATAAAAAATAAAGAAATAGAGAGAAAAATAAAAATGGGAGAAAATAAAAAAAAAAAAAGAAAAAGAAAAGAGAGATGAAGGTTGGATCATAGGATCATAGAAGGATGGGTGAGAAAAAGAAAAAGTATGAGAGAGAAGCGGGAAAATAGAAAATGTACATATATGATATTTTTGAGAAAATATATCTCAGCCATTATTTTATAATTTGAATAAATTTGAACCGTCCAAATATCCTAATAAGACAAATATGTATAGGACAAATTCAAAAATTATCCTATTTTATTATATAGATTACGAAATGAAGTGTAAAAAAATAAATGAGCTGACTCAAATAAATCAATAAGCTGCATTTAAGTCATTTTGCTAAAAGAGTGCCAATAAGCAGCTTATTTAGGATGTCCCTAAAATAGACTTTATTATGATTTTCCATAATTTTATTTGGATAAATAACAATTAAGATAGTACACGTCACTTTTTACTTTCTACATTTTGTATTTTGATATATAACTTTAAATATTATAAAAAATTATATATAATTTTTTTAAAAAAATTTCAAAACAGTGGGTAAGTTATAAATTTAGTGCTGAAAATAATTAAAATAATACTAATTACAATAAATCATAACCAACATCTCAACAAATTATAATTAAAATCTATAAAAAAAAAATTAGTGAAACATCCCTCGCAAACTTCGCGTAGTATGAGAGGTTCAAGATATTTTGTTTTATTAGCTAAAGTCCCTCAATATTTTCACAGAGAAAATTCAACTCAGAAAAATTTTGCCCGACTTAGAGACATTTCACCAAATTTAGAGAAATTTTGGCCGCGACTCAAAGAAATTTTCTCCGAGTGGAGGCGAAATTTCTCTGTGTCATGACCAAAATTTCTTTAAGTCAAATTTTCTCTATAAAAATATTGAAGAACCTTAACTATTATGAAAATATTGTATATCATTTATCTTATAAAATCTTAATATTAAGGACCTTAAAAAGAATTCAAAAAAACATAATTAAATATATGATACACACTTTTCATGAGGGATTTATAATAGAATTTACAATGATAAATAACGGGAAACTTTCTCCATATTTTTTTATATAATGCTATATACTAATTGACATGTTAATTGATATATTAACAAATGATGCAATATAATTTTAAAAGTTTTAAATTTTTATAATTTGTTTAATAAATAAAATTATAATTTTAAAATAATAATATCATAATTATATTAATATATTAATTAATATATCAATTATTACATATAACATCACCGAGATTTTTTACCAAATCCTCCCATGAATAAGGTCATGGTCAGTGGTCCAATGAGAACAGGGAAAGGAGAAAGAAAGCAATGAGAGTAAATGCTAGAAAAAAAGAGTCTCACCCACCCACCCAGCTGCAAGGACAAGAGAAGTAATGAGAGTAAAACGAAGTCTCACCCACCCACCCGCCTACCCGGCTAAAAGGATAAGAGAATACAGCTGTGATTTAAAGTTGTGCCTGTCATGGGGTTGATATTGTGTCGATTTGGATGATTTAAATTATGATTTGTTGCGCCTGTCGTGGGGTTGATATGATTTGGATGATTTAAATTATGGTGATATTATATGTATTAATTAATACGGTGGTCTTATATATATTAATTAGTGTATACATTAATATATTAATTAGTGTTATGATATTATTATTGATTACATTTATTATACAAGTTATAAATATCCAAAAGCATATCAATGATGTCACATCTGTTAGTACACTAGTGTGTACATTAATTGATACATATATTATTATTCTAATTAATATATTAATGTGTCAATATATATTATGATATTATTACTGACTTTACTTATTACACAAATTATAAATATTCAAAACTTCTAAAATTATGTCATATCATCTGTTAGTACGCTAATTGTTATACCAATTAATTCATATAGTGTTATTCTTTAAATTATTGGGTAAATTACACTGCCCTCTTTGAAATTTGATTCAATTATATCTCATCTCCTGATATTCTAAAAGTTATATTCTAATCTTGTGGTTGATTCTCTCATTTTACAAACTACCTATTTATATAAAAGACAACAATTTCTAGTAGAAAAATAAAAAAAAATTTCGATTGAAAAAAAAATAAAGCAAATGAAAAAAATAAATAAATAGAAGAAGTAAAGCAAAACAAGAAAAGAGAGAGTGCATGAGTTTAATGTTTTCATTCCATTTAAATAATTACAATTGCAGGAGGGTTAGTGCAATTTTTTAAACGTCAGGGATAATATGTATTAAATTCAAATTTTAGGAGTGTAAGTGTAATTTATCCTAAATTATTTATATGGTACGATTCGTTTATTTTATTTTATTTTATTTTATTTTTTTAGTAAGATTCAAAACGAAACAAAATTAATTGAATATTTATAATTATATAATAATATCATATATATTTAAACAAATAACAAGTATAAATTTAATAATAGATTATTTATTTTTTAAATTTGAATTATATGATTACAAATATTCAATTAATTTAAATTTTATTATGAATACTCTATTTGATAATGAGGGAACATCAAAATAAATTTGATATGGACCCCATGAAGGACCCCATTGACCTGTTAACCTCATAAATTGATTCAAGACATTTATTTATGTAAAATTTATATAAATTTTATGAAAATATCACATGAAAAATAGAATAATTTTGGATAAATAACTACTTGGTGGTTGAAAAAAAAAAGTGAAAACTTTAATTGTTAAAATTATAAACTTTCCTATAATTATGTAATTATTTTTTACAACTAAATTTGAATGGTAATTTTTTCAATAATTTTTCTAAGGCATAGGATGATTCCCATTTGGAGAAACTGCAAATTGAAAAACAAAATACAATTGCAAAATTATAAAAACATAAAAAATAATAAAAATAAAACTATTATTTTAATTATTAAAATTGATAATCTTTACGGTTAATTTGCAATTATTTTTTAGTCCCTCGATTGAATTGCAATTTCCCATTCCCATTCCTTGGAAATCAAGAGGCAGATCAGTCAATAATGACATGCTGTGCTGAGCCAGATGAGTCAATAATGGCATGTCCTCGGAAGCTTCCGGTGGTACATACATCAATTAACATATTAATTAGTGTATCAATATTAATTATTATATTATTAATAATCTCACACATTATAAAAATTATAAATATTAAAAATATCTTAAATTATGTCACATTATCAATTAGTACACTAGTCAATATTTCATTAACATTTTCTCACTTTTAAGTAAAGTTTTTTTTTTTTTTGTTAATTGAAGTTTGACGAAATTAATTGAGGAGATTATTAATACTCCTTCCGTCTCAAAATATTAATCTTTTGTTTTATTTTTTATTGTTCTAAAATATTAATCTCTGTAACGCCCCGAAAATTTATAACATTATATAAGTACATCAACCAACATTAATTATAAGAAAATGTATGATTCTTCAACCTTTACATCATAGATCATTAACGTTTGTACAAAAGAGTCTCGCATGTGAATTATACATTCAATGATATCAAATACATTAATCTATAGCATGTAGAACATCTAATTCAAAAGTAAATAAAATACCCTCAAAAGCTTACAAATTCCAAGGCTTAAGCCCAGTTATATAAAAATGGTCTCTCGGATCTAAAAAGTTATAGCCCTTGGCTAACAAAATATACCACAACAAAAATAAAAGCTCTATGCTTCCAACACACACGTCCACGCTCTAACTTGGCGGGATCACTACGTCTTTTCCTACACTAGAATCCCATAAATGTGAGCATAAAGCCCAGTAGGAAATTTTTAACAAAGTATATACATTTTATACAAACTTCACAAGTGAAATGCACATGTTATGCTATGCTTTTTGAAAGAAAATCACATTTTCATCCCTTTGGAAATCATCATGCTCATTTGTAACTTAAATCTCAACAATTTAGAAATTTTCAATTTAGTTCAAGGAGCGGTGAATGTGACTCAGGTAATCCCTAGGTTTGTATCTGCAAGTAGGTATAACTAGCACTACCAAATTTCCACTTCATTGATAGCTAACTAGAAGCCACGTGGTACCACCTCCGTGCGTGTTTTCGGTCTTTCACTCCGGACACTCAGTCCAACTTAATAAATTTCATCTACACCTCATATCCGGACTTACCAACGTATTTACCCTAAAACATTTCAATAATTCTTGTTTTACCATATTTGTTTCTCAATGCAAAATTCCAATTCCCAATTCAATATTTATAACAAGCAAGGTATTGAAGTGCCAATGTAACAATTATCCATGCAATGCAATAATCATCCATGCGATGTAATATCCTACCAATTACAAAATTTCCACACAAATGTTTCATTTGTGATCACAATTTCCACTTCCCTTTCCAATACATTTCAACACATATCACATATGAATTTTACATCTAACCAAGTGTAGCAACATTTCCACATCCCATGTGTTCTCAACATTTTGTCATTTTAGGACTATATTCATGACTATATACTTGTTCACTTAAACAATAAATTCAAAAAAAAAAATTTCACTAATTCTCACGTACCAAGAAAATTTGTCATTTTGAATCTAATAATAAGAAATTCTCACTTATTCACTTATTTGGCACAAGAAACCCATAAATGCTCAACATCTTCCAAAACTCCCAAATTTCTAGGTTTTTCATTAAAACTTGACAGTTCCTCATCTCTTGGTAAAATTTCGCCAAAAACATCTTTCTTAAATCAATGTGATTCAAACCCTCAAGAAAATCATTTAAAGAATACAAGAGATGAACCCATTTTCAAAACTACCAAATTTCTTGAGCCAGAAACCAAATTTTTAATGCCATCCAAGGGGAAATCTCAAAATTAACATAAACTCGCAAAAATATATATATAACTCAAAGAAAATCTCTACCTTAAGCTTTGGAGAGGAAGAGAGAAGAAACCCTCAAATTTGACAGTGTTGCAATCCAATCTCTACCGTACAAAACGAAGCCCTCGGAGAGTTTTCCAACTTTAATCAAGGAACTAAGGTCAAAATGTTTATGGATTTGGAGAAATCAAAGATCTAGTGAGGTTTGATGTAGAAAATGTAGAGAGAATGAGGAGAAAAGGGTTTTTAGAGAGATAAAGAGATGTATAAAATGATATACACTCAGCCCAAGAAAAGAAGAAAAATAGATTTTTCAGAGTCTGCAGATTCCCGCACGTGCGGAGTGTACCTTCCACACGTGCGGCTCTCACCCCTACATGTGCGGCCCATGTCCCGCACTTCCAATCCAGGTGCATATAATGCAGTGTGAACCTTGGCAGCCCCTCAGTTTCCCACACGTGCAGCCTCACTTCCTGCATGTGTGGCCCCCTCTTCCGCACATGCGGCCAAGGCCTCCGCACATACGGCTCTACCCTCAGCCCAGAAAATTTTCCAGTTCAAATGAAAAACCCCTGAATTCAACTTCAAACCTCCTGAAACAAAAGAAACTCAGAATTGAAATTAATAGGGATGGAAATTTTGAGAGAGAGATTTCAAAAGTGATGAACCCAACAGTTGACCAGACCTCAAGTTAGACCGCGACACTCTAACACGATGAACCCCGACACGCACAAAGGAAAAGTAAGACGGTTTACATACCCAGTCATCACAATTTTCCAACAATAGGAAATTTCGTCCCCAAAATTAAATCAAACTACCCAAACCAAGAGAGTTTTAAGAGATCAAAACCACGCCATTATATTCTCAAATCTCAACATTAATTCATAACCAAATCTCACCATTATCATCATGGTTACCTCACTAACAATAACTATCCAAAATAAGCATGCACATGAAGTTTTTAATAAAAGTAGTAACAACCCACAACAACCTCATGCTTGAAACAACAACATATATAACAACACATAATTAACAATTTTAACACATTTCCTTCAAACACTTGGGAGTAACATCAAGGGAACAACTTAAACATTTTCAAACAAATTCGGATACTTGGAGCGGACTTCCGCCTCCCGTTCCCATGTTGTTTCCTCAACCCCATGGTGTCTCCACAACACCTTTACCAATGGTATCGTTTTGCCCCGTAGCACTTGCTCCTAGGCATCTAGTATTTGAACCGATCGCTCTTCGTAAGAGGCGTCCTTGTCTACCTCCAAATCAACCCAATCCAGCACATGAGAAGGGTCAGGCTCATACTTCCTAAGCATAGATACATGAAACACATTGTGGACCCCTGAAAGTTGTGGCGGTAAAGCTAGCCAGTACGCCACTTCCCCAATTCACTCCAATATCTCAAAAGGCCCAATAAACCTCGGAGACAATTTACCACTCTTTCTAAATCTCATCAAACCCCGTCTTGGTGAGATTTTAAGGAACACATGGTCACCAACCTCGAAAGATAAAGGTCGTCTTCTTTTATCGGCATAACTCTTTTGTCGGCTTTGAGCCGTAGCTAACCTCTTCCGAATGAGAGCAACTTTCTCAGTTGTCTCCCTAACAATTTTTGGACCCCACAACAGTGCATCACCCACCTCGGCCCAACAAACAGGTGGTCTACAAAGTCGGCCATACAAAGCCTCAAATGGTGCCATCTCAATGCTAGCTTGATAACTATTGTTATAGGCAAACTCAATCAATGGTAAGTGCCTCTCCCAAGATCCCTTAAAATCAAGGATGCAAGCCCTGAGCATGTCCTCAAAAATCTGAATCGTACGCTCCGACTGTCCATCGGTTTGGGGGTGGTAAGTGATGCTAAAAGTCAACTTAGTTCCCAATACCTCTTGAAGGCCATGCCACAATCGGGCGGTAAAACGAGGATCTCTATCCGATACAATGGTCATAGGAACTCTATGAAGTTGAACTATCTCCCTAATGTACAACTCTGCCAAATGTTCAACTGAGTCGCCGGTGCGCATTGGAATAAAATGCGCAGACTTAGTCAACCTATCATCAACTATCTAAACAGTATCATTGCCTCGCTGTGTTCTAGGAAGCCCAACTACAAAATCCATGGTAACGTGCTCCCATTTTCACTCGGCTATCGGTAAAGGTTGTAACAAACCTGCTGGTCTTTTGTCATGACCCGAACCCGCCCCTATAGATTAAGGTCATAACCGACTAGTAATCGCGAGATTACCTATGGCCTCAAACCTGATATCGGTTAATAATTAATAATACGGGGCCAGATGCGGAAGCAAACTTAAAAATTTTGTCCAATGAGCTATGCTTACATGGCATAACCAAACATTTCATATATACTTAATAATAACTCATGTAGAGACCCTAATTTTTGGTAATTACACACAAAACCCTGAGCCTTAGTTTAATAGCATTTCAGCACCTAGTTTCGTAAAAGTCTGCAAAATGGCCCAATAAAGAATAATTTTCCTGTATATTATCAAAATTAAACCGAGAACACCACCTTACAATTGGAAATACCCTAAAACTTGGTTTTTATTTATTTACCTCTTAGTTTATAAATTAATTCATACATTTTATTTTTATTTTTATTTTTATTTTTGTTTTTGTTTTTGTTTTTGTTTTTGTTTTTGTTTTTGTTTTTGTTTTTGTTTTATTTATTATTTATTTGAATATTTATTATTTATTTGAATAGAATATTATTTATTTGATTATGTACATAGGTGTCACAAATAATATTTTGGTGGAAAATTGATTGAAAAACAAAATAAAAAAATATCTAGATATTTATGCTTCCTTAGTCATTAAGCTAAGACCAAGCTTATTTCCTATAAATTAAGAGCCTTGTCTCAATTCCACACACACACACACACACATACCAGCAGCCAAGGAGAGGGAGAGAGAAGGAGAGTGTGATTAGAGGGAAGTAGAGAAGAAGAAGAAAAGAAAAAGAAGAAAATAAAAGGAAGAAAATGGTGCCTTTTAGGGTCAAGGTAAGAACACACCCGTCTATGTCTTCTCCAATTCTTTCACCCATCTCATCCTATTGTCTAGATACCCTCGTGTGTTGCATATTAATGGTATATAGGGTTTTTGATGTGTATGAAAGTGTGGGTTTGATTTAGTGACTTTGCCTTACAAATTTTCCAAATTATGCACTGCTGCAACTTCTCTAATTTAAAAGAAATATCAAACCTATTTATTTTTCAAATCTGAATTTAGTGTAGGCTATTTGGTGTGTTTAGAGCTTGTGATAATTTTACTAGCCCCTAATTATGTGTTTTTAGGGCTTGGATATTTTATTTAGAAATCTGGTCCTGAGTCTCTGAAAAACAGTCCCCTTCTTTCAATTTTATAAAATTCCATAAAAGTCATCTCATGTTGGTTCTTTTGTCAAAACTTATAATTCTGAGTCGTCTTTCCAATGGAATTTATTTGGGTGAAAATCATTGGGTAGATTAAGAGGAAAGCTAGTTTTCCCAAAGGGTAACAAATCTGGACAGGTTTTTGAATATAGCTTGTAGATGAATTTCTGGAGGTGCTGTGCAAATTCTGAGAATTGGAATTGAAACTAGACAGGTTAATTATTATTTTTGTGAAATTTCAGCCACTAATTTGACCTAGAAGTATTTTTCCCAAAGCATTCTTGTTAGCCCTGCAGAACCGAACTGTGCTGGAAATGGTATTTTATTGTGTTATTTGTCTCTAAGTATTTCAAAGCATGCCTAATGTTATTTGCTTGCCTTACCATACTTCTGTATGCTTATCATGGGCTATATTTCTTCTCTTATGTTTGTCTCATGCTCTTTTATATTACCGAATTACCGAATGTGACTAACTTGCTCGGCAAAAGATCTAATAAACGGGAAATGATAAGGGGTTGGCAATGGGTGATGTTCACATTAGTGTTGGAATAATTTATACATATGAATGGCATGAATTATGATGGGATTAAAACCAAATGAGTTAAGTCTTGCGCAAGCGGTCTAAGTGAGCCCCTAGGTTGACACGGATGTATTCAGACTCTATGCGGTGGTTTCAGGGTGTAAGCAAACCCTTTGGTATGATATGTGCAGGGTGTAAGCGAGCCCTAGGCATGATTTGTTATGGTATGTGCAGGGTGTAAGCGAGCCCACTTGTTTGGTTATCCCTTTTGAGGTCCATCAATGTCACTGACCGATAAATAACCAGAAGGTGGGCATAGGTGGTAAGGTCTGCAAAGCAGCAAAAGGGGAAGTTCTGAATAGTCCGGTGTTCAATCCTTGTGGTTGGATAGAAGGATCTCTTTGGGGGATTCTAGATGTCTAGTCTAACTACTAATTCATAGACCCTTGTTGTAATATTGTATGTTATGTTACCTATTTTGTTCTGTGTATGGTTGATTGGTTGATAGAAGATATGGGGGTGTGTGTGTTTTTACTGGGCATTCCAAGCTCATGGCGTGTCATGCCAGGTGATGAAGCAGTTTACAATGGTGAAGGTTATTTCGAAGGCAAACAAGATGAAGTGTTGGAGCTGTGGTTCATTTGAAGACTTAAGACTGGTTGTTTTTTTTTCCTTTTGACTTTTGGTTTGGCAATGTTTTGGTAATCCTGTAATGAAACATAAACGAATTATCTGTGATATTAACTCTGGTTATATATGTATATTAAGATGTTCTGGTTATCTATCCTACTTGTGTTGTATTATTGTGCATATTTAACGGCTCGGAAGTTGGGGCGTTACAACTCACACCACATATCAGTAGTTAACATCTTGTATACCTAGGATCATTTAACACATAGTCAGCTAAACCAAAAGCTTTATACCCATAAACGGTCTATCATGACCAACATAAATAGCAAAAGAAATACAAAAGATCATAAACAAAGCCTCTTGTGTAAGGCACCTGGGCTGACTTCACAAAACTCGAGTTCATTTCTTAAATTCCACTGAGGCTGGGGTTGAACGTCCATTTGCTTACCTACATACATATAGATAAGAGTGAGCTAACGCCTAGTGAATAATATCAAAATAAAAAGGTTAATGAATGAGATTCGCTCATAAATGAGTCATACTTGTAATGTACACATTTGAACCAATATTCTCATTCACATCGGATTTACAAATCTCAACAAAGCTAAACGACCTCGGGTCCAACACATCATATCCATATGCAAAATGACCTCAGGTCCAATTCTTATATAAAATGGCCTTAGGTCCATCCATACAAAACGACCTTTGGTCCAATTCAAACATATCAAACAGCCTTGGGCCCAATTCAAATATATCAAACGGCCTTGGGCCCAATTTAAACATATCAGGCGTATCAAATGGCCTCGGGCCCATTCTCTTTATATTCATCTCCATGCGTACTTCATATTCATGATCATGATCCCTTTCATTCAAACGGCCTTCGGCCCATCACGGTATTCAAACATATCAAATGACATATTCAAACGGCCTTTGGCCCAATCGTTCATATCCGACGGCCTTTGGCCCAATCGTTCTTGTCCAACGGCCTTTGGCCCAATCATTAATGTCAAACGGCCTTTGGCCCATTGCATTAATGTCAAACGGCCTTTGGCCCATTACATTCATGTCAAACGGCCTTTGGCCCTTTTCATTCATGTCAAACGCCCTTTCACAAAATTAGGCATATAGAATATTCGTTCATATTTCAAATCAACAAATCTATGAAGCTTACACAGAAGTAGTATTTGGAAAGTAACATACTTGAAAATATCTTTACTAAGACTTTACTCATAGTGTTTTGCCAGTGGATTTGCTCTCGTGCTTGACCCTACACATTTCATGAACATAATAGGTCACAAACTATTCAATCCGTTCTTTAATTCATACATCCTTCTTAGGCTTCTTTTTTATTCTTTTAACTCATTTACAATGTTTAATGTATGCCTAAGAGTGCTTGGAAATGAAAGAGAACGGAAAACGAAACACAAATCATCTTTACAAAATTTCAGAAATAGGGCTCCACGCTCGAGCGTGGCTTTGGCAGCTCGAGCGGACCCATTGGGTCTGCAAAAAAACTTGTTGTCTCATTTTTACACTCGAGTGTAACCTCGGATGCTCGAGCTGAAAGTCAAACTACATGGCTTGACGCTCGAGCGTAAATATCCCCGCTTGAGCGGACATCCATGTTTGCAAAAGTTCTGGGAACTAACATTTCACGCTCGAGCGGCGCTTTCCCCGCTCGAGCGGACATGTCGAATTCTGGAATTTTCAGTAACCAGTTTGAGCTTCAAACTTGCATTCAAATTAACATAGCTTGCATTGTATAACCCATAACTCTCAAATACAACTACTAACATGATACAAACACCAATTTACTACATTATGAAGCTCAAATCTTATGAATCAATCACATGTAAACCCAAATTATATCAAACTTACTTCCAATACATTAAATTCATGCATTCAAAACTCACACTTCTATGAATTGCTCTTGCATGTGGGATATAACCTCTATTCTCAACTTAAATGGTGAAGAGATGATCAAAAGCATGAACTTCAATCAAAATTCAACATGGATTATACACTTTATGCTCAAATATGCAAATTCATAGCAATTTCTTACATGCATGCATTCATTGACTCCAAATTCATCAATTACCACTCAATTCTTGCCCTTGGTCACATATTCTCTTTGAACTCGTATAGTTACAAACTCAACCTCATGAATTAAGGGTTGATTACTCACCTAAGAACTTCAATTCTTCCAATTATAGCCAAATCTTGAGCTAATCCTCTTAATTTCTTGGATTCTCTTGCAATATCTTCAAGAATGGCTCCTTTCTCTCTCTAGATTCGGTTCACCCTCTCTCTCTAGAGTGTAGAATCTGATTTGGGCTAAAAAATCTGAGCTTAAGCATGAATGACTAATTTAAATAGGCTTCCCTTAATCACACTTAATTAGAACTAATCAATGGTGCTTAATTAATTCGATTTAAACTAATTAATTCATTCCGAATCAGTTTTCAATTAAATTTTACTGTAGGTTCTAAAAATTACGCTAATCACAATGGCATAGTCAATTTCGGTTTCTATTGCTGATAAGGCCTTCAATTTTCAGTTCAAAGCACAGATTTTGACAGATTTTCCTACGGTGAACAGATACAAAGCCAAGATCACATATAATCATGGAATTAACACCTAAATTTAAATTAATCACATAATTACAAATTAAGCACATAATTACAAACGTAATCATGATTAATTAACATAGTACAGGACAGGGTTATTATATCTTTGGTGTTCGGCCTTCACTTGTTGACAAGTAAAGCACTTCGATGCAAATAAAGCGACATCCCACTTCATACCCCTCTACCAAAACTGACGACTAAGATCGTGATACATTTTGGTGCCTTCCAGATGTACCGCAAGGCGCGAGTGATGGAACACCCGAAGTACGTCATCTCTTCAAGATTCTGGTACGAACAAACGGTCTAGATAACGTACACTCAGATCCGAGTGAACATTCAAACCCTTCTCTTCCTTCCCGTTGGGCATTCTATCTCAGATTGACTCTACTTCACGGCCCACTTGTTGTGCCTCTATGACTTTACTAATCAAGATAGATTGAGCATTCAAGGTAAACAAGGTTACACTCTCACCGGACTCACCCAAATGCAAATTAAACTTGCCGATATCACCTAGCATAACCCATTCCCGAATGGCCACACTTGCCCAACTACTCACCGATTTCTGACTCAAAGCATCGGCCACCACATTGGCTTTCCCCGAATGGTAGTGTAACTCGAAATCATAATCCTTCATAAATTCTATCCACCTCCGCTGGTGTAAATTCAAGTCTTTTTGGAAAAACAAATACTTTAGACTCTTATAATCGGAGAAAACCTCAAACTTCTCGCTATACAAATAATGTCTCCAAATTTTCAAGGCAAAAATTACAGCTACTAATTCCAAGTCATGGGTTGGGTAGTTCTTCTCATGAGTTTTCAATTGTCGTGAACCATAGGCCACAACCTTTCCCCTTGTATCAAGACACAACTGAGCCCATCTCGAGACGCATCACAATAAACAGTGTAATTCAAGCCTCTTTCAAAATTGGTGCAGTAGTCAATCTAGTCTTAAGTTCTTGGAATGACCCTTCACAAGCCTCACTCTACACAAATTTGGCACCTTTCCTAGTCAACCTGGTCAAAGGCGCGGTTAGACTAGAGAAGTTCCTTACAAAGTGTCGATAATACCCCGTTAATCCCAAGAAACTCTAGATCTCAAAGACATTTTTGGGTTGTCCCCATTCCTGCACAGCGTCTATCTTTGAGGAGTCTATATTTGGCATACAACCGGTGCTCTCTAAGCAAATCAAGTACTACTCGCAAGTGAGCCTCATGTTCCTCCTCAAAGGTTGAATAAACTAAGATGTCGTCCACAAAGACGACCACAAAACGATCCAAGTATTCTCAAAAAATTCGGTTCATTAAATTCATAAAGGAAGCTGGTGCATTAGTTAACCCAAAAGGCATTACAAGGAATTCATAGTGCGTACAAAAGGCCGTTTTCTGGATGTCCTCCTCCCAGACTCGTAACTGATGGTATCCCGACCTCAAATCTATCTTCGAAAAGCAGCGAGAACCTCTAAGCTGGTCAAATAAATAATCTATTCAGGGTAAAGGATACTTGTTCTTAACGGTAACCGGGTTCAACTTGCGATAATCGATACATAACCGCAATGATCCATCATTCTTCTTCGCAAAGAGAGCCGGCGCTCCCCAAGGTGATGTACTAAGGTGAAGAAAGCCCTTGTCTAGAAGCTCTTGGAGTAGAATCTTCAACTCATGCAATTCGGCGGGTGCAAATCTATACAGATTCATGGAAATAGGTGCCGTGCCAGGCACTAAGTCAATGGAGAACTCAATCTTCCGATGGGGTGACAAACTAGTAAGATCCTCAGGAAAGACATCTGAATATTCATAAACTACCCTTGGCAATTCAACACAGGCCCTGTCACTCTCACTGTTTAAGAGAGTTGCAAGAAGACCACTAAGCTCGCTCCTACTACGAAAGTCAAAAACTAGTGACAAGACTCCATCAACTCGGTCCCTTAGAAAGTAAAAACAATCACCACTCGAGATGCACACTATAACTCTCTTACGATAACAATTAATCACATCTCGGTACAAAGATAACCAATCCATGCCTAAAATGGCATCAAAACTCGACATGTCTAGCAATACAAAAGCAAACGGAAGTCGACGCCCGGCAACCTCTATCTCACAACCACGACACCCCTAGTCTAAATCAACCGTGCCCCTAATTGGTGACTCTACTCTGAGCGGAGACGCTAACCGTGCCACCTCTAACCCCAATGCAGAAGCAAATGCAACATATATCAATGAATGAGACGCACTAGTATCTATCAACACATTAGCCAAAGAATTACACATTACAAAAATACCTCTCACAACTGAGGATCCTGGTAACTGCTCTGGCACGATAACAGCATATACGCGCTCTTATGGCCTCTGATCAACCTGGTCATCCCTCAGAGCATAGGTCTGTTGCACTGACTGAGCCGAAGTGGCTCCTTGATTAGCTCACGAAGTCTGAACTGAATGAGCCTCCTGGTGGCTCTGAGTCTGCCTCGACCCTGATGCACCAGATGCGCCTCCCAACTGCGGACAAACTCTCTTCATGTAACCTGGCTGACCACACTGAAAGC